AACGGATAATGATCTTGGTGGTGTATGTGAGATATGAGGATATACGTTTGAAGTGGTACTAGGTTTGCTATGAGGTGGACGAATCATATCTAAAAGTAATTTTCCATCTAAAGGTTTATTATTGTTATCAGTCGTAATGGATGCCGGGTTCTACACAATTAAGAAAAAGAAGAAATTTTTGTGATATCAGTCATTCATAAGTCATTATTTTAAAAGTTCGAGAGTGTGTGTGAGATATATATATTTTTACAAAGATGATAATGCAACATTAAGAAGATTTACCGCGAGAGGTGGAATAGGTCTCGTGAGTTCAACAATGCTTGCTTTTTGAAATAATTCCCCCAATATATCTTTCCTCGCGTTATCATGCGATTGGATTTCATGATGAGCCGGTGTTGAACTTCTACTGTCAATCGAAGTAGTAGTTTGTTTTATTTCTTGTTGTTGGAGAAGGTCATCAAGATCGATTTGCCTTCCATAAGATGTTCGTTGGGGAAGGGTCGGAAGATTTGAGGAGTAGTGAGAGGATGATTGTAAGGGTAATTGTGGCGGGGTGACAACAGTTTTTGATAATTCGCGACATCTAAAATTACAAAGGTTCGAAATAATTTTAATCCAAGTCGAACTTTTTTTTTTTTTTTTTTTTGATTTAAAAATGATGAAATAGAATTCATTCAAAAATTACTTACTCCCACAATCTTTTTCCTATTCGTTCCCGATCTTTTGTTTCAAATACCCAAATGCCATGGATATTATCTACCATCCAAAGCAATACTCAATTACCAAAATCCAGCCACTATTTGTGGGATCTTCATATAACAAAATATTGGCGAACTTCAAAAAAGTCATCAACGATACCATCGTCTGTATGATAAATAATATATTCGTCTTTGAATTCTAGCTCCATGCTGTCTGTTAGTGGTGCCATGAAGTTATCGATACCCAGCCGATTCATCACTATAAATCCATACACAGGTTGTTCGCATCTAAATTTGAAATAAATAATTTAAAAAAAGTTAATAAAATATTTTTATATTGATAGATAGATAGATGTATGTACGTATGTATGTATATATGTGTATTTATAAAATTATTAAATAAAAACCGTACCTTTTGAACACAAACAACGTGCCTTCTACACCTTTTTTCGTCTATAAAAGTATAATGAAAACCAATGCCTTAAATAATTTAACGCGCTTCTTAACTTGTGTAATATAAAATCAAGCATACCCAGGCACCTTGCTCATGGTCAAATTTATATACTACCACATGACTTGAACTATCAACTATTTCAACAATATTTTGGTCATGACGACGCAAAACATTCAAGTTGACAGCTTTTCTAGCAATTGGGTCCATAAAAGCAAAATATCCTTTTTTTTTAAAAAAAAAAAAAAAAAAAAAAAAGGAAAAGGAAAAGAAAAAATTATCAATTAGACGAGCTGTTTTACAATCTGTATTTATAACTCAAAAAAATAAATATCACGTGATCAGTTTTCAAGAAATTTTCGAAAATTTCGATTGCAAGAATAACATTCAAAAAAAAATTTTAAAGATGAACATTTTTAAATATGAAAATAAAAATATAGAATTTAATAATATTTAAAAATTCGCCCAAACATTAAGAATTTTTAAAAAGAGAATAATAAATTGACTTTTTCGCTCTATAGCTTTTTTTTTTTTCTTTGTTACATTTAAAATTAGCAATAATCATACTAAATTTATTTTTTTTTTTTTATTTTATATTAATATGCACAGAAAACCAAATTTATTAAGTTGTTTTTTTTTTAAAAAAAAAAAACTCACTCCTTAGGATTTTTGGTTAGGGGAAATTTTACAACAAAATAGTTCATATAAATGCAATGCAATGATCGTTGAATGAACCAAGAGAGAGAAGTTTTTTTTTTTTTCTTGTTTTTCTTTTTTTACTTCTTAGATGCTTTGACGGCTGCTTTGGTGGTCTTACCCGACTTGTCAACCTTTTCAACACCCTATTTGATTAGGAAGCGAGAGAATTTTCGTTTTTTTTAAAAAAAAAAAACCATAGTTATACAAGCACATGTGTTCATGAATTTTACTAACCTTGATAACACCGACAGCGACAGTTTGTCTCATATCTCTTACGGCAAAACGACCTAAAGGAGGATATTCAGAGAAAGCTTCAACACACATGGGTTTGGAGGGAATCATTTTAACAATAGCTGCATCGCCGGATTTGACGAATTTGGGGTTGTCTTCGAGCTTTTTGCCGGAACGACGATCAATTTTTTCTTGCAATTCGGCGAATTTACAGGCAATATGAGCGGTATGGCAATCCAATACAGGGGCATAACCGGCACCGATCTGACCAGGATGATTAAGAACGATGACCTGAGCTTGGAAGGAAGCAGCTTCCTTAGCAGGGTCGTTCTTAGAATCGGAGCAGACATACCCTCGACGAATTTCTTTGACTGACACGTTCTTGACATTAAAACCAACGTTGTCACCAGGTAATCCTTCAACTAATTGTTCGTGATGCATTTCAACTGATTTTACTTCAGTGGTGAGACCGACGGGTGCGAATGTTACAACCATACCGGCCTTGATAACACCAGTTTCGACACGACCTACTGGAACGGTACCGATACCACCAATTTTGTAAACGTCTTGAAGTGGAAGACGAAGAGGTTTATCGGTAGGTCGACTTGGAGGTTCAATAGAATCGATAGCTTCCAAGAGTGTCTTTCCTTTAGTTTTACCCCCTTTGATTTCCTTTTCCCATCCTTTAAACCAGGTCATATTTGAGGATTCTTCCAACATGTTATCGCCGTGCCAGCCGGATATTGGGACGAAAGCAACAGTTTTTGGATTGTAACCAACACGTTTGATAAAGCCGGAAACTTCTTTAACGATTTCGTTGAAACGTTCTTCTGACCACTGAGTTGTATCCATCTTGTTAACAGCAACAATAAGTTGTTTTACACCAAGAGTATAAGCCAAAAGAGCATGTTCACGAGTTTGACCGTCTTTGGAAATACCAGCTTCAAATTCACCAGTACCGGCAGCAATAATTAAAATAGCACAATCGGCCTACGGCATCAAAAAAAAAAAAAAAGAGAATTTTAGCAAAACATGCGTCACACAAGTTGTCAAAGCGATCTAAAATCGATCGCTGGATATAAGATTCATTATAGGCATGATTTTTTTTTTGAAAATCGTATCCTTTTTAGTGTCAAGAGTTAGACTATAACCGAAATAAAATGTAACATCTACCTGAGAAGTACCAGTAATCATGTTTTTGATAAAATCACGATGTCCCGGAGCATCAATGACAGTGACATAATATTTTGGAGTTTCGAACTTCCAGAGAGCGATATCGATGGTGATACCACGCTCACGTTCTGCTTTTAGTTTATCCAAAACCCAGGCATATTTAAATGATCCTTTTCCAAGTTCTGCAGCTTCTTTCCTGTATTATGCAAATCAAATAAAAAAAAAAAAAAAAAAAAGAGAATTATTATTATTATAATTCAACACAAGCAGAATTCAAATTAATAAAAAAAAGGTTGTCAATAAGACGCTTACTCGAACTTCTCTATTGTACGTTTGTCAATACCCTGCAGATAAAAAAAAATTTTATCATACAAAATATATTAATTTCTTTGATCAAAATATTTTAAAATAATAACTTAGTAAATAATCTCTGATATCCATACCCCGCACTTGTAGATAAGATGTCCGGTTGTTGTGGACTTTCCAGAATCGACGTGACCAATGACGACAACGTTAACGTGAGTTTTTTCTTTACCCATGCTGTTGAAGATGAAAAAAAACAGAAAGGTAGAAAAAAGAAATGTTTTGAGCAAAAAGTAATAATTAAAGTAATGCTAGTTTTATGGTGATTGCAGAATAGTGTTGTCCCTCGTTGTTTTGATATTGTATTTAAAAGGTTGTTAAAGCTTAGTTTAACTTTATAAACTTGAAATTACAAATTACTGCGGCCACCACCACACTTTCTCAACGACCATAAATTAGATGAAAATTTTTTTTTATAGATTTTTTATATCTTAAGATAAAGCATCTTCGAAATCTTTTGATAAAAAGTGATACCAACTCAATGGATGGATGTTTTTAAAGATGGATGGAAAAAAAAAAAACATTTGATACTTACATTATAAGATATTAGCATAAAATAAAATAAAAATACGTAGAGTCGTTACAAGAGGGGAAAGGTGAAGAGGGAGAAAATTTTTAAAGTCAAAGCCGACCCCAATATATACTTATTACTGACTCCCCAAATCAGATCTTTTGGTCGGATCAAATGAAAAAAAAAAAAAAAAAAAAAAAAAATTAATAAGATCACTAATTGTTGTATTCAACCCTTTTTGTGGCCTTTTTTATTTTTTTCGATTGGGGGGACTTTCTATCATTAAGGGATGTGATAGGTTACAAATAACAGAGTTCATATCCGAATTTGGCTGGATCAATACTGCGGTTATTGACCAAATATTAGTCATTACTTAATAAAATGGACCTTTTTTCTTATTGTTCAAAAAGAAAAAATTTTTTTTGTATCATTGTTTCACGAATTCATAACAAAAAAACAATTAAACTAAATTGGAGTTGGGCCGGAGAAATCAAATTATAAGTTCGACCATATATTGTATCAAAAAAAAGCATAACCGTTAAGGTCGCTTTCTGCGTGTTTAATTGAAAGACAATACAATCTTTACTTTGCGATAACGGGAATTAATAAAAGTTAAAATCCGTGAGTATCAACCGGAAATACTAAGCCACTCATTTCAGTTAATTTATTTGGCAATTTTTTAGCATTCACAAATTTCTTTCTAACTCGCCTTAAATCTTTATGAATACTATAATCGTATAAAGCTTGAGTTGTTAAATGAAGGAGATAGCCAAAGAGATCCATTTCTCGATTTTCTTTTCCAAAAGGGCTTAAGACCCATTGTGATATTTGCGTCGCTTCTGAAATCGGTCGACCAACCCCCAATCGGAACCTTGATTAAGATAAGAAATGTTATCATTATTTCCTTTCTTAAACAAATTTTACTAAGAATTAATTCAAATTTGATATTCATACCTAATAAATTCTTTTCCGATTGTAGATACAATGTTTTCCAGCCCTTTATGACCTTTCATAGCTGCTAAATCTCCTCCACCTGTAAATGGAAGAGTAAACCTTTAGAATCTAACTAATCATAAGTAACCACGTATATAAAATTAAATATCGAATGACAAACTTTGAATCATCAGCGCTCCCGGCAAAGTATTCAAGTCATCTGCCACGACCACAAGTTTTTTGGTGTCATTGACAGCAAAGTGTTGTAAAACCTTTCGTACGGCCAATCCAGATTCATTCATAGCTGTTAAAGGTTTCATCAGAATAACTCTAAACGAATTCTATTCGTCAAATAAAAAAATAAATAAATAAATAAATCGTCCACAAATATCATATTGATGCTTATTGTTAAATCACACACCTCAACAGATCCATTGTTACTGGAAGAGGTAAATATTGTATCATGTATATCAGCTATATATCAATGAATTCTCTTTTTAGTTGTTTTCCTAAAAAAAAAAAAAAAGAAGGGAAAAGATAGGAAATTCAAATTAAAACTTATGAGTCGCTTGCAAATTTATAAATTTACCAGACAGATCCAAACGTCGATAAAATTTAGGAAGACTTCGTGCACCTTGCGTGACTTGTTCTTGAGCAAGCGCCATTGCATTTGCTAGATAGTCGATAAATATATATCCAGCTAAAATAGAAACGCGTAGGGTGCGATTAAAAGGTTAGATTTAACTAGTTGACATGATCGGAAGAAAGCTTTATTCGTATAAAATAGAATAACAACCATTATGACGTGTTGTAGCATATTCGGGTTCTGGGTTTCCAAGACCCACAACAATAATGTCAATTGGTCGGGGCATTTTTTAAAAGTCGGGAAAGGTTTTGAAAAACTTCAAAAATGATGATGTTTATGTCGATCATGCCACTGCCATTATCGTTAATTTAAATGTGGCTAATTGAATTGCATATTTTTTTTTTTTGTATAGTCCTTTGGTTCATATAGAATAAAAAAAAAGTAATCACATCAGAAAATCATTACGTGAATTCAATGAAAATTGGCAAGCTTTCAAAGCATTTGTTTCGAGTCACTATGAAAAAAAAAAGTGCGAATTAGGCCAAGTTCTGTTTTTATTTTTTTATTCTGAAAATTTGCGTTACAGCATGAAATCACTGATGATGTCTTTTCTACTTTTAAGGAAACTCGAGACAATTTTTATATCTGAAACCTAATTGAATGAAGTCAAATTTGTTATGTATAAACAAACGCTTCTAGACGTAAATCCATGCATATAATCTCGAAAAAAAAAAGGAACAAAGTAAATCAAGGAATTATTATACGATTTACAGCTTTTATTTGTCTTTTTTTGGGTTACAAATTTTTTAATGATGATTTATATTTCTAAATTAAGTAATGGATAGATAGCATATATGCGCAAAAAAAAAATAAAATAAAAAATTTTAATTAAAATAAAAATAACAAATAAAATTATCCTAGGTATCGTTCAAAAAATAATGTTTAAGGTCAACATGAATCAATGTTATCAATATTATCTATAAATAAGTATTATTGTATGATCATCACATCAACCATTTGATACAATATGATTATAATAGGACAGTCACTATGATTATTGTCCCCAACCTCATGAAAATAATTAATCTGTAAATAATAAACACACGATTTGAGGAGTTTATTAGTTTCGGAACTTACCTTCTGAATTATCAAGATTTAAAATTACATCAGTGGGAAACTTGGGCTGAGAACGCAGTTAGAACGCCGGCTGTGTGATATCAGAATATCTCCTCCTTTAAAGTTTCTTAATAAAAAATAAATGGAATTTACTCAAACGCCACCAATCATATTAAATGATAAACCGTGACGAAACTGAGCCAAACATTAAACACAAAAAAAAAAATTTTTCATTAAACCACAAAAAATTTTTTTTTTTTTCTTTGTCCTTATTTCAACGCAAACATATCAGCCCCTCCCTACTCCAATAATTTCGTCAACAGTTCTTCCTTCTCAATCTAAAACCTTTCGGGAATTTGTCAAGCATAGCTTTAGGATATATACTCTTCATCCTTTTAACTATACTGATCACTTCTCGTCCTTTACCAATCTGTGCCACCAAGTTGAATCCCGCAGCTTCCTCTGCAACTGCCCACTCTCCTATGTTTGACCCTGGTTAGCTTTTGTGAACTTTTTCGTTCGAGCCAGCCGCTTGCTTAGTCGTCGCGTTTTTTCCTTCCCCCGTCTAGGTTGTCATCTTTTTTACCTGATAGAAATTAATATAGTAAATTACATCCGGACTTGTAGAGTCATTATTATTATTATTATTATTTTATTCGAGGTGAGTCATTTGCATCTAGTAAAAATTTTCGCTTGCAAATCCTTTTTTATACTTTTCAAAGCCGGTGCAAAGCTTTTGTTCCTTGTCTAGCATAAGTCGCTTACGGCGAATTGGGCTAGTGATAATATAAAATAAGTATATATATATATATTAATAAAATAAATAAATATATATATATATATATATAGTAAGCATAAAGGGTTCCTTTTGGGGTTTCCTATGAATCAAGGAATTCGACAGAGAACAAAATTTTGTTAAAATATTAATTTTGTAAAAAATAGATTGTTAAACAGTCACTCGCTTATCTACCATCCTTCATTGAAATATGTGAACGATTACTTATATTCAGAGAAAAAGAAGTAGAACTATTTATTCAACTTACCACCGTTCGAACGCACTCGAGATTTATATAAAGACTCAAGTTACTCGGTTTAAGGAAGTTTTCTTCCAGATTTTTATTACTCAAAGAAAGTCTATCTGAAACATTCATCCTCATGCCAGCGATGCGAACTAATCGAAGTTCCGGCCCTATTTCGGCTGGACAACGGTCGCTCATTAACCCTCCGACCCTTATTGAGTATAATAATCTTCGTTTCTTGATCGCAGATGCTCCATCAAACAATAACTTAAACCTGTATATTCAGGTAAGAAAAAGATGCATATCTCTATCTGAAATTTTTACAGAACTTGAATCATAATTAAATTTATTATTAATTCATATAATACGTATGTATCTTTTAGGAATTTGAACGATACAATGTTACTGACGTCGTTCGTGTTTGCGATCCTACTTACAACAGTGAGCCTCTCGAAAGTCGTGGAATTAAAGTCCACGTAAATTTTATTCCTATATTATCTATATTATCATTTCGCGTCGAAAATTTCTTAATAATTTTCTTTTTTTTTTTTTCATATTAGGATTGGGTGTTTGGTGATGGTGAAGCTCCGCCATCTCAAATAGTTCACGAATGGCTTGATCTCGTACAAAATCGATTCACCGAGTGTTATGAAGATACGGAAAATAGGCCTACGATCGCTTGCCATTGCGTCGCTGGACTTGGACGGTAAGAAATGGATATCTTTTCTGATGTTGAGTGTTTGGACCATCTTAACTAAAAACGTTATTATCTATTTTAATGAATTTTATTATTAGCGCTCCTGTGTTGGTGGCTATAGCGTTGATTGAGTCTGGTATGTCACCTCTTGACAGTGTCTCATATATTCGCCAACGACGTAGAGGTGCTATTAATAACAAACAGCTCAAATATATTGAGAATTACAAAAGAAGATCCAAGTCCGGCAAATGTGTTATATGTTGACTCTATGATCCTTCTATATTATTTGAATTTTTTTCTTTTCTCTTGAAAGATAATTTTTTGTGTTTGACAACGGGTTGGGGTTCTAAACAAAGTTGTAAAGGTAGTAGAAATCGTCATATTTATACTAACTGGAAAGGCGGTCGGAAGGAAAATATTAGACGGGGAAGGAAGAAATTTCGTGGTGTTTCATCATCTATCTCCTTATCATCACGTATCCTCTCTTGCCCATCCCGATCACCTAATTCTCAAAAATTATCTATTAACACCACCCTTGTCCACAAAAATTTTTTACATTCATTTCTTTATTATATTCCTTATTATTCCATTAGAACTAGTTCTTTTGATTTAAGAGCATCTTATCTTATTGATTTTGTAGTTCATTTTGATAATGGTTAAGAAAATTTGAAAAATGAAAAATAAAGTGAATTACGAAATAGTATCGAATATGTCACGTTTCTATTCTTCGAGTGTTGTTATTTCTTTTAAATTTTATATTCTTGGTTTACACCGGATTTTTAATTTCATACCTTGCAGGAATAAAAATTATTATAAAACAATGAAAGTTCTTTCGGTCATAAAGTGCTAACCTTTTATATTATATGCGTGTAAATTCTTTGTGATACAACAAAATTTGACATAAATTTTCGGATTTCCGCAGCTTGTACTAATACTCTTGATAAAAACGTCGAGCCAGCTTTTTTTTTAAAAGTTCAAAGATATAACATCAAGACAATTGAACTTATACGAGCTTATAATACGATCAAGAATATAAATGGCAGGTGCTAAAGGACCGCATGGCTTTCCTCTGCCCGGAAAAACACACCTATTTTTCTCCAAGTTTCTTGGAGCTTCCATGGCGTTCTGTATGTAATTTTTTTTATTGATTTTATTTTTATGGTGCAATTTTTAAAAACAATCGTTTAATAAAATGATCTAATTGGGTTTATCTAGGGATATTATATCGAGGAAAGAAAGAAATGCCAATACTCCTGGTTTGATACACTCGTTTTTTTTTTATTGAATTTTTTTTTTGGAAAATGTCGATATAGATTCGTTTTTTTTTTTTATCTTTGGATTTATATAGGGACTTAGACATCCTTGGGAACATCATGATCATGACGGAAATCACACCGAATCTCACCATTGAATTAATTCAATCAAAAAACAATTTCAAATATTTATAGAAAGATAAATAAATTCATTTTCGTTGCGAAAAAAAAAAACCGCATTTTTCTATCTTTTGCTTTTTTTTTTTTTTTAAAAAAAAATATATATATATATATGAGATTAACATTTTATAACATTGTTTGCTTTCTCATGTTTCTTTCCGTTGATTTATATATAATTATCTCGAACAGGTAAATTGATTTCAAAAGGGGGAAAAAAAAAAATTACACAACACATTCAATGCATAAAAATATCGTATTATATTGTTGAAGATGTCAAGGAAGTGCTCTTTTTGTTAAAAGAAAACATTAAAAAAGAAAAAAAAGGAATTATATACCAAATCTCCTCCAGTGATAGAGAGAGATTTTTTTTTTTTGTTAAATAAATTTAATCAACTTCTTGAGTACTAACACGAGCTTTAGCATTGGTAACTCTAATATTTAATTGTTGAGCCCTTCCAATTATTGCAATTCTCTTTCTTGAACTAACGTTATGAGCAATCTCGGCTGCATATGTTTTGTTATGCATAAGTAATAATTCTAATTCTCTAACATTAGATACGAGAAATTTTTTAAATCCATTCGGCATTAAATGACGAGTTTTTTTATTTGAACCGTAACCGATCTTTGGCATTAGAAGTTGTCCTTTAAATCTACGTCGAACTCGATTATCAATACCCTTTGGTTTTCTCCATGCTTCCTAAAAAGAAAAAAAAAATTAGATAAATAAATAAATATTTTTTATTTGTAATTAAAAAAAAAAAAAGAACGCCAAACAAAAAAAAAATTATATACCTTTACGGATTTATATCGATCTGATTGATGCCTTTTAAAAGGCTTAATGCGCTTCTTGACAATCTTAACCTTCTTTACAGGATTAACCATTTTTGCTAATATATAAAAACAAGGGAAAGTCCCAACTTTTAATTTTGTTCTTAATTATAAGATCGAAGAAAATCAAAAAAAAAAAAAAAAAAATCAAAAATATATATATATATTTATAATATCTAATACTAATAAATATATAGAGGAAAAAAAATTGAAAAATTTATTTCAATTGCAAAGATTCTTTTGAAATGAGTTAATCAACCGATTAGAAAATAATGATGAGATTTGACATTATAACGATAAACCTTTCTATATAATAAATGTCAAATTGTAAAGGTTCTCACCTAAAAAAAAACGGATGGAATCAAAGAGGAGGAAACGAAATGGGAAGCGAAAAATATTTAATTTATATATTTTTTTAAACCAATCAGCAGTTATTGATATCGATAAATAATTCTGGCCATCTGTAGGGATTTAAACCAATCAAAAAACGTTATATATTTTTATTAACTTACTGGCATTTTACAATTTAATAAATATAGTTAATTAAGAGAAACCAGAATTTCTATGATTTAAGAAATTAATTAAATCATACTTTGTAGCAACACCTAAACACCATTTTCTTTCGGAGTCAGTTACAACAGCAAAACTATGTTTTTCAAAGAATTTAGCTAATTCAGACAAAGGAGTATCAGGTGTGATTAATTGATAACGTTCTCTTTTACTATTATTGGTTCTACTTCCGCCAAATGAAAACAACCACTTAGATACAGCATCTTTTGGTGCTGCTTCTCCTGCATCTAATTGAGTTTGTAAGGAGGTTAAAGAAACATACCCAATTAACTTTTTATGAGAATCAATAACAGGTAATTGTGAATATTCTCTTTCTAACATTAATTCAATTGCATGCGATATTGTTATATTTGGTGGGACTGTAACTGCTGCCGGAAGTTGTAAATCTTCCACGCTCGCCTAAAAATCAAATTTAAAATCATCTCAGTTACCTAACTTTCAATTAATTATTAATATATCAAAAAAAATTTTTTTTTACGTACAGCTCTGTATTTTTCACTTCTTTGGTATTCGAGTTTTCGAATCATCTCGTCATCCATCAAGTCATTCTCTAGAAGCCACTCATCTGATAATAAAGTAGTACTATAATTTCGAGCAGTATCATTTAATATGCAAAGTATACGTGTCGAATTTTCTTGCGCTGTAGACCGTTGTTTGATATATGATAATGCAGCACTCACGACAGACCCAGAAGATGGTCCTATCGTTAAGAGAATTAAATTTAGTCTTGAAAGAAATAATTAAGAATTGTCTTTTTTTATACCTGCTAATAATCCGTCATTAATTAATTTTCTGGACATAGCAAAGGATTCTTGATCGTTAACTCTCATCCATGAATCAATCAAGGACATGTCCAAAATGGGTGGTGTAAAATTGTTTCCGATATCTTCAACCTTTCTATCCTATAATAACAAAAAAAAATTTGTAAATGCATATAATCTTTATAAATCCTTAAGTGAAGTTGATCATAACTACTTTTACGGATGATGGATTGATAGGCTTGTTATCTTGTATTCTTGAATGTTGTGGCTCAACGGCAACTACCTATTTACGTGACAAATTCAAAAATAAGATGAGATATTCTAAAGTGAATGGACATTACCTAAATCGGACTAAAAATTATATCAAGTTTCTACCTTCAATCCGGATATTCGAGATTTGAGGTTCTTTGCAAGCCCAGTAATTGTAGCTAAAAAAATTAGAACCATAAAATTCGTTTTTATCACTTATATATATAAATATTTTGGTGTAAATAAAAAAAAAAAATACTTCATACCTCCAGATTCTACGCCAACTACAAGCACATCTAATTTTCCTTCAATTTGTGTATAAATTTCTTCTGCAGTTTCTTCATGATGTACTTTAAAATTACTTTGGCTATTGAACTAATACGTTAGAATTAATTAGATAAGTTTTTACTAAAAAAATTCATTTTTATCAAATAATTACCTCGTCAATTACAATTGAATTTGCAATTTCATTTGATAATTTTTTAGCCAAGCTAAAATTGCTTTCCGGAGCATCATAATGAGCTTCATTTTGTGTTCTTATAATTTCGACTCCTAATGCCTTTAAAATATGGATTCGATCTATTGATGTACGTTCAGGTACAAGAACTAATGTTTTATATCCTTTTTTATGAGCTAAAAGTGCAATGCTTATCCCTATATAATAAAATTTAAATAAAATGATTAAGATTTAAATAAATATGAATTAATTTATTAAATTGCAATACCTAAATTGCCACTTGTAGGGATTATTAAAGTTGTTTTAGAGTTTAATTCCTTTTTTTTTTCAACATCTAATCAGATCATATATATAATGTATGTAATGTATGATATAAATGTCAAGTTTTCATCGACATAAGCTAAATTAATTTATTTTATACCTTCTAATACTCGTTTCGCAACTCTATCTTTAATACTTCCAGATAATGAATTCAAATATTCCAATTTGGCCAATAATTCAATGTTTGATAATTCAATTGAAGAAACGAGTGTAGGTAACGATTTTATTCGAACTATTGGTGTATTACCAATTGAAAAAGATATATCGTCGAATATTGGTGGTGGAGGACGCGAAATAGACATTTATAACAAAATATTTAATATATTGTTAAAATTATATACGATCAAAAAATTTAGTGAGGGAAAGGAACATTAAAGTATAAAGAAGGGAATTGCTATAAAGAAATAAATTCGTTTTTTATCTTACAGAGAGAATTGATTTCCGAAAAAAATCTTAAACCCAAAATTACTAGCAGACATCTCAATTTTGTCTCATCTCAAAATGCGACGATCAGTTGTCAGTGATAGTCTTAGACTATCAATAATTTTGAAAAATGTAATAATTAAATCACTTTACTACTTATAATTTATAAAATTGTAATTATAAAGATTATTATAAAGTTAATAATAATATTTATAATTTAAAATTATTATGATATAATATATATTTATATTAATTTTAAAAAAAAAAAATTTTAGTTTTCCCTCCAATCTAAGGAATAGATAAAAAAAAGTATGTAATATATGGGAGGGTTTCTAGGAAAATCAGGTTCCGAGAAATTTTTCACTTAAATTAAGAGCTTAATACATTTTAATCTAATAACATCAAAAACTAAAATGCAATAAAAAACCTCAATTTTGTTAAAAAATTCCCGGAACCTGATTTTCCTAGCAATCAACCCATATGTTGAATTATAACAGAAAATTCATTTTATTGTCAATTTAAATACTAGTAGATTTAATCAATGCTAATGATTTCAAACATAAATTAATTATAAAAAACAGTTCATAAATTCATAACAAATATTAATTCAATTTAAATTTTAGTATGCAAGGATGGATAACACTAATTTTGAAAAATGCAATAATATGCAAATTTATAATTTTAAAAACTTCTTAATAAACTTACTAATAAAATTAATAAAAAATATTTTAAACTTTATAATAATAATTACTTTTTTTTTTAAAGTTTACAGGCAATTTGTCTGTTAAACAATTTAAAGTAAAATATTTTTATTTATTTTAAAAGTATTTTAACATTTTTATTATTATTAATATTATTCTTATTTAAATTATTAGTTTATCTTTTATTAAATAATTTACAGATTAAAAATAATATTATTTAAAAAATAAACAATCTTTTATATATAATATCAATATTTATTATTAATAAATATATTTAAAGTATTTAAAGATAATGAAAGTGTAAAGAATTTTCTTAATATTTTGTTTATTATAATTATCTTCTTAAAAACCAATAATTTTTTTTGCATAAAGTTTATCTCTTAAATATTATTAGAAAAAATTTTTAATTAAATAATAATTACATAAAAAATAATTTATTTATTTATATATATTAATTTAATATAATTATAATTTTAATAAATAATAATTAATAGCAATCAATAAAATATTCAAATACTTTTAGTAAAGTAAAAAAAAAAATTTAGAGTTAAAAAAAAGAAATTCAAGAAGTTATTCAATTATAGTCTTGATTAAATTCTTTCTATATATCACTTAAAGCTTTTTATAAACTAACTTGACTTAGCTTACTATAGAAGTAGTTACTTTATTTCTATTTAGCTTATCTTAATTTATAACAATCAATTAATAATTTAAGTTAAATCAATCTGAATTCTAAGCTAATTTGTTTGACTTAAATAATTTAATAAAGCATTCTAAAATAATTTTATTTATAGATGCCTGTTAAAACCTCCTTAAAATAATTTTGTTATACCTTTTTTTATGTTTTAATATAATTTTAACAGTTTTAGTTTTTGTCATATCAAATGGATTTTATCGTATCCCTTATTATAATTTATATAATTTCGTCTAAGTTTCAACTGTTATTAAGGGATTTTGTCTCTCATCTATAATTCTATCAAAAAAAAAGTTTTCAAAATAATTCCTTTTAAAAGAGAATAATTCTTATTAAAAAATATTTATAAAATAATTTTATTAAGAAAAATATTCTGAAATGATTACAATTAAGAAAAATATTTTAAAATGATTTTTTTTGAGAGAAATATTTATAAAAGTAATTTTATTAAAAGAAATATTTTTAAAATAATTTTTTTAAAAAAGTATTCTAACAGTATTTTTCAAAGAAAATAATTTTTTGAATGTTTTTTTTAAAGAAAATTATTTCTGTTATAAAAATTGTATCTGAAGATATTTCTTTTGATAAAATCACTTTTAAAGATAATTTTTTTTAAAAAAGAATTGCTTTTAAGACAGTTTTTTAAATAAAATTGCTTTTAAAATATTTTTTTTAAAGAAAATTATCACTTTAATTTTTTTTTAAATAAATTGATTATATCTGAAAATATTTTCTTTAATAAAATTACTTTTAATCTTTTTTTTTTAAAGTAAATCACTTCTAAAAATTTTTAAAAATTTTTTTAGAAATATTTTTTTAAAAAAACTATTTTCTTTAAAAAAATGTTATTAGTATATTTTCTTTAAAAAAAATCTCTAAAGATATTTATATCAAACATAAAAATCACTAAAGCAATTTTTTCAAAAAAAATATTTTTTGAAATATTTTTAAAGATAGTAAATGTAAACTAATAACTAAATTATGTTATAGCTAAGCTATAGTATAACTAGCTTATTTAATTTATAACTTATTTTATATTAACTCAAGTTATTTTTAGGTAAGCTAGCTTATTTAACTTATAAATGACTTAACTTATACAAATCTTTAATTAATAATTATAATTATTTAGTAAAAATTCAAAAAATTGAATTATTTTAATAAATTCAATAATTTTATTAGCTATTATATTTTCGTTTACATTTAATTTAATAAAATTTAAGAAAATATAAACTTTTATATTAACTTATTTTAGTGAAAAATCTATATTATATCAACTTTGATTATAACTTAATATTTATATTATTATTATTATATCTAATTTAGAATTTTTTAAGTAAATATATAATATTTATTTAGTCATATAATAATTTTCTCATTATTATATATACTTAACATTTTCAATATAATCTTTAAATAATTTCTGTATTTTAATAAAAACTAAAATTAAAAATTTTAAGAATTTACTATATTAATAAAAAACACAAATTATTTTATTTATTAATATAATAGAAAAAACTCAAATTTATATAAATAAAATATATAAAATATAAAATACAAAATAATCTAACTTGACTTTTAAAGTAAAATAATAATTTAAATATTTTAATCAAACAATATTTTTATTATTCAAATTAAATGATAATTTTAATTATTCTAATTAAATAATTTTTTATTATTAATTAAATTAACCAAAATTTTTAATTTTAATTCAAAATTTTTAGTTTAAATTAAAATTATAATCAGATTAATTTTATGCAATTTAAAACTAATTTAAAATCAATCTAAATTATTCAAAGCTTTAAAAATATAAAAAATAAAACATTATTAAATTTCATAAATAGATTATAAACAAATAAAATACAGAGAATAGACAAAAGTATTCGCACATTTTTTCACTCAATATAAAACTTCAAAAAATTTTGCATTAATTATGAAAGGTTAATTAATATTTTATTTAAAGCTGATTAAGATCTAAATTTTATACTAAGTAACTAGTACTTAATTGGACCACTATTTACCACAATCATGACTTAAATTCATTGTGGTATACTATCAACTAGATTTTCG